AAAATTTTTATTTCAAATTCAAGAACCTAAGAAGTAGGGCTCCAGCCCTATGAAACGTCGCCGTTTTATTACTAGTATATATATATATTCTAGTATTTTAGATACTAATTCTTCCTTCTATTTTTTTAAAAATCTTTAGTTTGCTTTCTCATTAGTTTTAGTATTTGTGAATTAAGTATATCTTGGACTTTGCACCTTGAAGACTCTTTGTGATATTTTTTTATATTGTATCTTTTTTTTTAATATATATGGGCTGCTGTCAATAAAAATTGTGCAGATTATTTTAAAAAAATTTATCTCTTAACTTTTACACTTATATATTGATGAATTTTGAGATTATTTTAATAAAGCTTAAGATCTAGACTTTCTTTTGAATATTAGGGTATTGTAATTGGTTAACTGTCGGGTTACCCGAATAACCAGATGATAAAATTGATTAACAGATAAATAATTAAGATATCCTGTTAATCTAAAAAATAACTTAAGATAAAACAGGTAAATATAATTATCATAATTTATATATTGTTCACCAAATTAAAAACGTGTCAGATTAAAACAATTGTAATCTTGCTGGTACCTATCCTTACATCGTGCCCAATTTAATCAATAATTTTTAATTAGTTTGTATATGTTTACATACTAATGTGTTTTAGAATTGCTTTTTTTGTAAATTTTGATAAATGTTTATATAATATTTGTAAATTATTGATTATGATATGTTAAAATCAAGTTTATCAAGGAATTAAGTCTAAAACATAGTGACAATAAAACGTTTAGTCAGCATTGCTAGTCAAGATAGAATGAATTTCAGGTGGTTATATAAATCAAGCAAATGTAAGTTAATAAATTATTAAAACATGACAGAGTTCATTGTCTAAAGTATAGCGGGAGACACTAATAATTGCATATGGAATATTTTTTTAATTGATTCTGTAATTTTGATTGGCTGATAGCCATGCATTTATCTTACCCCGAATATAACCTAGGATATAACCGTTAACCTCTTACATCAATAGGACATAAAGCCGGTTATTAGATTTTATTAAAGGTTATAACCTTTCGAGTAAAAGGTTAACCGGCTACGACCACTAATGGCAATTTCCTCTATAGCTGGTAATCAATATTTAATCTATTTAAAAATTTTTTGATGTTCAAAGAAAAACTTTATCTAATTTTTAAAAAATTTTTTAAAATATTCTAACTTTTTAAAACTTAGATAAATATGTATTTCTCAATAACTACCAAATATAATTTGACAATTTTTTATTTCAATTCTGTAGTGTTATAATATTAAAATAAAAAAATTTATTAGATTTAATTAAGAGGTTATTAAGAAACCTTTGCTGGAAGTTTAAAAATTTTCAAAATTTTAAAGATTAATTTTACCAATAAAATTTAGCAATGTTTATTTGTGAATTTTTATACGGTTGCTATATATAAGGTAAAAATGCAATCTTTTAATACGTATTGCGCTCACACTTTAAAAAAATCGGTATAGCTCATAATTTGCTATGAAATCGCCTTTTGTGTTATAATTAAAAACATTCCTTGCAAAATTTAGGTATATACATTCTTTGCTAACACTCTATCATAACGCATCGTTAGCTTGTTTTGATTTCAGTTACACCTACGTTACACTGTTAGGGAAGTGCCGTTTATTACGTAATTTCAAGAGGGTGAGAGGGGGTTAGCAGTCCTATCACGTCCATATATTATATATAAAAATTATGATTGGTTGCTAATTTGATCACAGAGAGGGGAGGGGTATGACCTTATAATAAAAAGAAATTACGTAATAAACGGCACTTCCCTTACGGGATGCATATGCATAAAATGATAAAGATCTAAATTTAAAAATTTATTAAATTTTATAAACTTGTCATATTGGTATATCTCGCTAGAATAAATAAGATAATTTATATTTATTATAATGTACCTATACTTTTTACATAAACTAGATATATATATTCTACAATAATATTCTCAGCTAATAGATAAAATTTTAATAACAAAGATTTCATTTAATTTCACAATATATTTAGTTAACTTTCCACATTAGTGCCTTCCGAATTATCGCCAAGTTCTTCAGGGGTTTCTTTTTGTTCAACTGATTTATCCACATAAGGTTCATCAAAATTTTCTTTCTGTTCAATTGATCTGTTCACATTAGGTTCTTTAATCGATTTACCTAATTTATCCTCCTCTTTATGATAAGGTGAAAGTTTTTTGTATTTGATAAAGAATAATTTACTAATAATATTAGAAAGTGTTGAAAGTCCTGATGCTATTATAGTGAATAACGCAATAGCATCATATTCTATAGTATAGTAGATATAAAATATCTAAGATATGATTGATATAAATGATATTATTAGAAAATTTCTGTAAGTAAATTGTGATAATGTTAAAAGGATAAACTTTATTTAGCATATATACCTGAATAATTAGTTGTTCAATATCACCCAGTATTACATCAGCACAACCTCCCCAAAAAATAATTGACAATGACCTATTGGATAATGGTGCATCAAAAAGTTTAAATTTCATCAAGCGCGATTTCAATATTAATAATAAATCAATGTTTGAACCAGATAATAATGCTACCGTAGTAGCAATTCTTCCATGATATTTAAACCATAAAATAAACTCTTCATTATGCTCCGAATATAATATTGAAAATGCTAATGTTAAATTGACTGCTATAGGAAGCATTAAAAATACTACACTAATTGTTTGTAATTTTTGAATAAATTAAAAATAAAAATTTAGTATGTAATTTTATACTATTTATTGTAAAATTTTGCATAATTTTACCTCGGTATGAAAAGATCTTGAATGGTTGTGGCATCAGTAAAGGTAAATATTGTAATGGTTACGATTTTAAATATGGCAATACCCAATTGGAGAATTACAAAATTATCGCTCTATAGTTTTGCATGTTAGTTGTAGAGAGAGAGAAAAAAAAAACCCAAAAAATATAACAATTAAAATAATTACCTCTGGTGATTTTATTCGGGCTCCAATGAAAATTGCTAAACATAATACCAAGCCCACAACATATAAAATAATTTTTGTGCTATGTATTTCAAAGAACTCCCGTAGTGATGCTATTAAAAGAACGACTATAAATAAAAATTGCTACGTGCAAATTATTTGCAGGATCAGATTTAACGTGACTTCATTGTTATATTAAACTTTTTTATTTTTTTAGTTTCACGTTACACCTGAACTTGAAATTTGATTGATGGTCATATTACAACGATAAGTTCTTACCAAGTTGTTGAAATCCATATTTTTCATCTAAAAGACTCGTAACTGCTCCTGTCGATATTCCTGTAAACTGTTTCTCTTTTATTAAAGTGTCTAAATCAGATCTGGCAACTATAGTAAGTTTTTCATTATTATTGCTTGATTCTTTAATAAAAAGTGGGATAAGGATTTGCTCTGAATCGGACCAAGGGTTAACCAATTGAGTATGTCCATTTGTACTTAATCTTCCCACTGATATAGGAATTCTGACTGTGAGTTCATTTATTAAATTTGTAAAAAATTCATATTTTCCCGAATCATTTAATTGCTTAAACTGATTAGATCCAGCAACTGTTAATAGTAATTTTCCTTGGACATCACCTAATTCAATTATAAATTTAGAGTTGATATTATTATTACTATGCATTTATAAATTTTATAAATAAGATTTGTAAATAACCAATTTGTAGATAACCAATTTAACTATTATTACGTACCAGAACGTTTAAATGATACATTTTTAGCTATTGATGAGATTTACTGTTAATAAATAATAAACTTAATAATTAAAAGAATTACAATTAAATTACAATTTATATAAACCTGTTTGAAAAGTCCATATATTTGGTTCAATTCCTAATAAGGGTTCATTATATATAGCACTCTTTACAAAGTTATTATCCATTTGTATGAAATATTGACCACTCGGATCATTAAAGGTAGAAGGAAATGCTTCAAGACTGACAGTATTATTATTTGTTGAACATTTTTTAGTATTAACATCACAAGTCCTTGAATTTATTATTTGTCGAAGAATATTGGATTGATTGATTGATTGATAAATAGTTAAATTTCCATCTGACAATGAAATTTGTTCTTGAAATGTAATGCTAATCACGTTGGTATTCAAAGTTACATCCGTAGAATTTCTTTGGGGGTATGTCGTAGTCACATGTAAATTACCATAACCATTATCTATAAGAGATTATAAGGGATTATAAATATTACTATAATTCAAATTATCATTTTTCATATTATAAGGTTTTTTTTTACCTTTAAGTGGGGAAAGAGCCGGCAAATTGATCGAAAGAAGACTCCAAGAAGTGGTCGTTTCATTTTGTGCTATTAGCAACGTATTATCTCGTGTTACGTCAAATGCGCCATATAGATTTGCAAGAATTGGTTGTCGTAGATACACAGATGTAGATGGTTTATTAGCTTCATCAAAAAGCGCAAAGGAGAAATCAATATTTTGATTATCAGCTGGTCGTAGTATAAAAGTGTATCCTCCAAGAGGCAGTGTTCTAATCATTGGTTGGATGCTCGTAGTTATATTGATTAATGGGTTCAAAGTCATTACGGAACCACTTGAAAGGAAACGTATTCTAATATAAGATGTCATTATGGTAGGCGTAGTGTTTGTAACAGGTATTGAAACGTTAATCGGCGTGGGAATTTGCGTGGGAAACTGCGTGGGAACACCTACAACAGCAGTTGTAGATGAACTAACAAGTGTAGTCGTACGTGTAGCCGTAACTGTAGTCGTAGATATGTTATAATAAGTGACATTGGTAGTAGATGTTCCTTGAACTATTCGCCGTACGGGTACGATGCATGAATGACCAATGGCGACGTAGTCGACAAAGCAATACAAAGCAGTGAATGATATATTAGGAGTGCTTATTTCATATAAAATAATTCTTTCACTCGTTCTTGTTTGATTATAAGTTAATAATATTGCATATATTCCTGCTCTAGCATTAAATAGGTCGGATAGCGGGTCAGAAATTGCAACACTATTGGTCGAATTAGCGTATACAATCGCATATCCATCGTTTAAAGTTGGAAATACCATAACTTGAAAGCTGGTGGTTGCAAGATCTAAATTTTCAACGGTGTCATTCGATAATAAAGTGAATATCCCATTGCCAACACTAAAAGGAAAGAAAGAAATAAATAAAATATATAATTAAAATAAACAATTAAAATAAATAAGTATATATTTTATAGTTTATAATTAATAAATACAAAAATATAACGTACTATCCGTATTGTCTCCATTCGAAAGCGCTACTTCTATTATTAACCTTAATCCCGGATAAACGTAAAAAACCCTTTTTTGGAGTAATATTATTAACTATAAAGTCATTTGGATACCAATTTGTGCCTGGGCTCAAGTAAGATGGTCCAAATTCGAGCATACTATTGTGTAACAAATTACAAATGTTACTACTCGAAACATTGAATGCTTACACTCTACCTTCGTTATAGGGAATTCCTCGTTATAACAGAATTATCGTCTTAAAACAATTTAAAATTCTTTTAAAAATGCTATAGCACACTTTGGCGGATTTTATAGTTACGGTAATAGCAACCTGATTGATTTTCTATAACGAGAGTAGAGTGTATACTATATTATAATAATAATAATAATAATAATAATAATAATAATAATGATAATGATTATTATTATTATTATTATTATTATTATTAGTCATGCAAAATTACATTGATTGGTTTCCAGAACCCGGCCGGGTCGAAATTTGAAAACTTCTACAGCTGTTTCATAAATTTTGGAACAACTGAAAAATTTCCGATGACCGAATCGATAAATTACCAAGTCGGAATCAATAAATAACCGATTGGCCGAACTCAGAAACTTATTGGTTCGGTTATCGGCAATTTTTTCAGTTCCAGAATTTATGAAAACAGCTGTAAAAAAATTTTTTATATGTTTTTATAACCAGGCGTGTTTTAAAAAAAAAAAAATTTTATGAATTTTATAAATTTCATAAAAAAAAAAGCCGGACGGCCAGGTCCATTTAAAAGTTTAATGTTATGAAAACCAAGTAATTAAATTTGTATGGCCTTATTATTATTATTATTATTATTATTATTATTATTATTATTATTATTATTATTATTATTATTATTAACAAACCTTATAATATTTCCACCCCAATCTAAAACCATTCCACGATCAGTAAAAGTTGTATTATCAGAGGTATTAGTGGCATGAGTGTATGTCACTAGAATGTATTGTTCAAATAACGGGTATATATTTAGGGGTTGTTTAGGGGTAAGGGTATTACTATTATTAACATAAACCCAGCAATAATTGATATCTTGTATTTCAGTAAGATTATCATAATTTATTTCGATAATACTTCCATTAGCTTGAATAACACGAAGTAATAGCCTACGCTCAAAACACCTAATTATGCCAACGTCATAATTCTCCCGAGCGATGCGAACAACCGTCGTCGAACTGTCTTGATAATGGAAGATACCTAAGACGCGAGGTTGAACACCGGTAAGGTTAGGCTGAATTGATATTTCTGAATGGGTAATATTTGTAGATGTCAACGAATTCGTAAGGCTTAATGGTGTATTTTGTGCAAATCCTGTTGGTAAAATCGCCAACAAACATATTATAATTGCGAATATCAAATAATATAATAATATCTTCATTTCGTTTAGAAGGTATAAAAATATACTAATTTAAATTTAGAATTTACAAAAGAAAAAAAAAAAAAAAAAATAGACATGATCAAAATTTATATACGTATCAATAAATGAATTTGACTCATTTTCAGCTTAAAACGTGCGTATGTCGTGAATGACCCGCAGAAAAAAACTAATTAACTCCGATATTCGTTTTATTAGGAATAAATTGTATTAATATGATTAGGTTAATTTTAGAAAACCTGTATTTTCTCGAAATGACGCCATACGAGTTTCGGACTTCGGCCTGTATCAATATCAAATATAGATATTCCTAAATGAATAACTATTTTTTTTTGAGAAAATATGGAATATCGAGCCTTTTTAATGTTACTTATGCAATGTTGAGGTATTCTTATTTTGGTGAGACCTGATATTGTTATATAGTATACCCATGATCAGGTTCTACTATAATAAGGAATTCCTCAACATTGCATAAGCAACATTAAAAAGGACCATCAACACGAATTCTGAAATATCATTCCATAATTGGACATACATATGTATGTACTGTATGTACATACATATATCAGTAGAGAAGTTAAGCCTCAAAATCTATTTATATATGATGAAGCAGATTAGATAAACTATGATTTACCTGAGATTTGCATTGTAGTCAACGCAAATCATCACAACCCGGATTAAGTTCAGAAGTGTTAGATTTAATAAGTCAATGATGTTATTAAAGTTTATCATGCAATTATACATAACGATAATCTCACAAATAGTATTATTTATAGTCAAAAATGTATCATTTTTAATACCGAAGTCTTATGCGAAAAGAATACTTCACTGGATATCTCAACGTTATATTAAATTAAGCTGCTAAATAATCTCTTTCAATAACAAAAAGAAAATTGAATTGATTATAATCATAAAAAAAATTCTACCTGCTATTAGACCAAAATTTAGTCAATATAAAAGATCGAAATCAAATGAGTCCAACAATTTATGAATAGCTAATCAGTGCGGTATAATTGGATCTACATATGCTATGCCGATCAGGAACTTATACACACGACACGACTTGCGCAATGCGTCTTACTGATTGACTTCTCAATGAAGCCACGATATCATTAGATCAGAAATGATACTGATAACGTATTAAAGTTAAGTTACGGCGTGGGAAAACTAATTGATGCATGTTTCAATCGTTACAAATTTATTAAAAAAAATTTATGAAGCATTTGTGTTTGAACCTATTTTTTATGGAGCAACACTGATCGAAATTCTTCGAAACTGAGCCGACTATGTCTATAGTAAATTTATTATCTGTGAATTTTTACTTAATGGATTTAATGAATGGACTATACATTTGAGCGATCTTATGCAAAATTTGTTAAACCTATCACATTCGGACCGAACAATCGTTAATGGTTTTTTTCGTAGGAATGCGATGTTTAAACAATAGCACCATAAAACCATGTGTTAACTTGTTCGTCAACTATATAAAATATTTGTATTTATTAATTAATCGCTATTATAATATATATAAAAGAATTTTTTATCAAAAATTACATAGTGATGATCATTAATCAAGATTTTTTGTGGATAGTACAAATTTTGGCCAAATTATTGACTACGTTGTTACACTTTAGTTATTTAGTACATAACGGTCTTATAAAGCCTCAGGGATCCCTAAACTACATAGCCTTGGAATACTTTTTGCAAAAAAATTTTGAAAGTCTTTTTAAAACTGATTGTTATTTTCAAATAATAAAAAACACGTTTTTTAAATTGAAATCGGTTTTAGAATAACCTTCTAATATATTTGCAGATCATTTCCATATTTCAATAATCCCTGACTGTATATACTGCAATAACTCTTAAATCAGCAAACCCACACAAATAAAATTATATTTGTCGGGTTCGTTATAATGTGCTTTTTAAAGTAATAACGCCTTTTTTTTTTATTGTCTGGAGCGTAGAGGGGCTCAAAGTGATACTAAATTCTCGTTTTGATGTGCATATTGTGACACGATATGCAATAGCTACACTTTTGACATTTTTATTAATATATCAAAAACGAGAGTTTGGTATCCCTCACTATGTCCAGACAATAAAAATAAAATATTGTTTTAAGAAGCACGTTATAACGAACCGACATATATAATTTTATTTATGTGGTCTTGTTGATTCAAGTGTTATTGCAGTTATATGTTTTTACTATGATTAATGATCATCATTTTGATCTGCACTATGCAGCTATGTTTGTACACAATGATTTTCCATGTGATTACAGGATTATATCACAAGTTCACCTGATATAGTTTTATAGTAGTACGTTGTGAAGGATTCCAGTGTGACTAGTTTTCTTTTTTTAGTGTTATCTTATTTCAGGCGCTACGTAGTACTTTTATTCTAGTTGGTTTATAGTTAGTTAGTGAAGTAGATATAGAAAATCGTTACCCTATTTATAAAGTTCTCCTCGTGAACTAATGGCACCATTTGTGGCCTTTATTCCTTTAATGACATTAGTGACATTAATGGAATTGATGGCACTTCAGGAATTAATGACATTTCGCTACGAAGCTCTCAATAAAGATAAGTTAGAGTTCGTTGTTAAGGATATTATTTACCCTATAATTCTCCTCAATACATTAAATTCATATAAATGATTAGTTATCGGTGTTGCCCATATTTTGTGATTTCCGGAGCAGTACCACTTTTTTAACGTACGTACGTACGTACATACTTTATCTGTTGGCAATTCAAATCCAGATTAATTTTTTGACTCAGCTAAACATTTAAATATTATTGGCTCAGTCGCATAGCTTATGATTAGTGATGCTACATTTCTCACTTATTTAGGGTTTCTTAATAATTAAATTTAGGGTTAACAAATAACTAGCGTATTAAATTGTTTAGAAAATTGTATTTAAAGCTACATATGTATCTTCTTGATACATAATTTCAGATTTGGCATCACTATTGAGTATTATTATTATTAGCTGACCGATAAACTATCAGCCAGCTAAGAAACTAAGCGGCTGGCTAAATCAGCTTAGAATACTAATTGAACCGACATGAAATACGAATTATAAAAATATTGGTAGTGAAAAAATTATTCGTCATATGATAATAGCAGCAAATCAAATTTGCACCTTAGAAAAAATAAACTTAGAGATAACTTTCGAATCATACAAATCTTTGGAACCTATAGAGATGATATAATGAGAAAATACTGTATTAACCTTTAGGAATATAAATATAATCTTAGAACAGGGTGAAGCCTTGAGTTTCGAAATAGTGAAATCCGGTTTGTAAATCTGGTTAGTATTAGGGTGAATTCTGTGGTTTATCATTTATTATAAAACGTACCTATGGTGGTTTGCACCTATTATTATGTTTTTGTATATTTTTCTAAATTTTTATAAGCTTTGTATATAAAATTTTTAGCATAAATTTTCATGTTGAAGTTAGTACTTAGTGTTAGAATTACTGTTTACACTGCATACAGTACCCGGAGTCTTATAAAGAACACCATTTTTAAATTGAATAGTACCCGCGGGTACTGTGTGAGGAACCGGTGCTGTAACATATGAAAGTAATAAATTAAATATAATTTTACCCCGGGTATTATTCAAGAATTAAGCCAGATGGGTAATGAATAATATCCGGGTTTTAATCAAAGGGGTATTATTTTTAGGGAATACTTTATTGCAGTGCTAAACGTAGAGATGGGCAAATTATGGTTTCTCCGAAAATCTCGCGCGCCACGCGCGGATCACACGCGTGATACACATCCCGCGCGGGATAGGATCACAAACTGCGGGTTTCGTAATTTTCGTCTAATAAAAACTATGCGGAAATTTAATTTTCTTGTTCTACTGTAAATTTTTCGAATTCGGCCCGAATTAAATTTAATGCGGGCAAAAATTCGAAATAACACCAAGCCCAGGGTTGTAAAATTATGGTAATTTATTGGTAAGTTACCGATGAAAGTAATCTTTAAATGAGCATTTGGTAACTTACCATGGGAACTTATCGGTAATTTACTGTAATTTACTGCGGTAACTTACCACGATAAGTTACAACTAGAGGTGGGAAAAATGCGCATTTTATAATAAAATGCGCATGAATGCGCATTAATGCGCATGATATATAAAATGCGCATGATACCGCATGATAAAAAATTTTTTTTTAATTATTATCTTTATTACTGATAATATATCTAAATAAAAATACAACATAATATTTCTTAATCAGATTTTGCCTACATATATAGCTTTTACCAATTAGCCAATTATAAATTTCATAGTTGCTAATCATATATATTAAATCATAAATATATTTAATAAAGAAAATATATAAAAAAAACTTAATATTTAATAATCTTAACTGTTTAAATCTTCATAATCTTGATATTTTATATTTTAATTACTGTTAAATCCCTCAAAACTGATCTTTCCAATATTAATAATCTGCTGAATTTGACTAGTTATAATGTTTTTAAATTCAATAACTATACTAATACAAATATAATCTACTAAGTTATCAATTTGAAGAGGTTTAACAGTAGTTTTTTTTGTTTTTTTTTTAATATTTTAATTTTTTTTTTAATATTTTTTTATTTTAATTTTTTTTTTAAATATTTTTTAATTTTAAATTTTTTTTAAATATTTTTTAATTTTTTGTTTTTTTTTTTATTTTTATTTTTGTTTTAGCTACTAATATTGTTTTTAGTAATCTATATTTAATTTATAAAATAAAATGTTTATAATTTTAGTTATTTTTGAATTATTATTTTTTTTTTTGCAAAATACTCTTCTAAATAATCATCATTTTCTGAAATATCATCCATAGATAAATCTAAACTTCTTTCTTTTAAATTATCAAAATCATCTTCATAATATTCTAAATTATTATTAATTATTATTTAAATTATTATTTAATAAATAAAATTATTATATTGTTTTTAAAATTACTTACCATTATTATAATAATTATTATCTAAATAATTATCA